AGCAAAGAATGCATCTCCAATAAAGAAGAGGAGAAAAAAAAAGACTGGAGTATAATCAGATAAACCAGAATACAGCGACCAGAGGTTGGCTGATATGAAACGTTCGTTCTCTGCGTTCTCTCCTCCAGCTTTATTAACTGTGGGATAAGAGAGTTCTCAGAGACATCAGGATAGGTATGCAGTAGGACAGGATGAAATAAAACGGGGGGAAACAAAAGGAATGGGTTGTCAGCTACCACGTAAGAGTTGCACAAAGGAAGAACAAAGCCAAGTGTTATTGAATGCTGTATGAATACCCCAAATACACTCCTGCTGTTAAGTTATATTGCTTCCGTATTTCCAACGGGATAATGATGAACACTTCTTCACAATTATTTTCCAAGCATTAAGGTGAGACTGTTGTCTCTGGCACCTTAACACCTTGCATTAGCAAACAGTCCCAGAGATTTTGATTAGTTTTTAACCGTTTAAAATGTAATATTCATAGGAGTATGACAACCTGATATTAGGGAACTGTCATCGTGAACGTCATGCCCAAAAGATGCCCACATTACATGTGTGTGCGGATCGTTAGTAGTGACATATCTTCCAGATATCTTTATAATATCTTTTAGCTATTCAAGATATCTTCACAGCAGAGCATCCAGCACACTTCTACATAAAAAACTACGATATTCAAAATGACACAGCTGCTTACTCTCAAAGAGGAAATTACAAAACTCAGCAGTTGGAGAGAACCTGTGGTTTGCTTCCACTGGTGTTGCATTGGCTTCTAGAAAATGCAATTCTTACCAATGTTTCATGTCTTTTCTACAATGTGGAGCTGAGGTTCCCATTAAGCCAGCACTCCTTTTTCAGAGGAGCAAGGCAATAGGACAGATTGAAACACTACCTGCATAATTCATGCTTTATGAGTTATAGAGAGGATTACTGTCTGCCATCATCTCTTGGTCCAGAGCTGACCAGACATATTCTGTTTCAGTCAGTGGAATATCAGAAAGCTACCTTGATAAGGAAGTGTTCAGAGCATGGTAGGACAGCACATTCTTTCTGAAGAGTGCATTCTTCGTGCATCACCATCAGCTCCCCCATGGCAGCCTGCAGCTCCTCGTTGGCTTCACAGCTCCCCAAAGGGGTCAGAGGGACGACACTGATCTCTGTTCTGTTAACAGCTATAGGGCCCAAGGGAATATCAGGGGAGGGTCAGGTGGGGGTGAGGGAAAGGCACAGCTGGAGCTCAGGGAGTGGTGGGACATCACTCACAGGCACGAGGTTTGGGTTTGGTGGTGCTGTGTGCAGCCAGGATTTGTGTCCCGATGGATCCCTTTTCAAGTCTGGACACTGTGGATTCTCTGGAGAAGAGGGCTTGGATGTCCTGTCTGTGTGTGCTAACCACTGGGGGGCACTGAGCAGCGCCCAGAGCCAGCACACACAGCAGTGGGCACAACTGAAGCCACAGGAACTCCCAGGGAGAGGTGGGGAAGCTCTTTCCCATCTGTGCAGGTGAGCAAGCACTGCACTGGCTGCCCATTGAGGATGTCTTCAGCACCCAATGGGACACAGCCCTGGGCAGTGGATGCTGTGGGACTCCAGTGGGCACTGATGGAGTGGGCGATCTCCAGAGGTACCCACAGCCCCAAGCATTGAGAAGATTGGGGTCTGGGGGATTGTGGAACTTTTCTCTCCCCCCAGATAAGGAAAACCATGAAGATCACATCAACAGCAAGGAGAATTATTCCACCATTCTGGAGACCTGTTCTGTAAGACACAGAGCTGAAAACCTCCCTTCTTTCCCTGCCAGCTCTGTACAACCCTGTGTGATCCCCCACAAGGGGTTCTGTTAAATGGGGCTCGGGGGGATGGGGTGCATGGGGACTGCATACAGCCATGGAATATGCAGTTGCTCTGTGGGGATGGCAGGTGTCCAAGGGAAAGCTGCCCTTGGTGCCAGAGCCAATGCTATGTCTCCTCGTTGTTCTTAGTTTCACTTTCTACACTTCCCGTAACCGAGTGCATTTACAGGAAAAGCTTGTTTGTGGTACCTTTGGCCTTTACCCGATATTTGCAGTTGGGGCAGGGCACTGCCTGGCTGGGGGCAGGGCTGAGCTGCAGCCCCCAGGCACAGCATAGCCCCCTCCCCCTGTCCACCCCCCTGCAGGCAGCTCAGCACCACCACGCCATTCACCACCTTCATCTGCCAACATGGGGCAGGGAGAGGGTTGGAGTAGGAACAGGGTGAGAACTCCTGGGTTGAGATAAAGACAGTTTAATGGGTAAAGCAGAAGCCGCATGCAAAAACACAGCAAAACAAGGAATACACGGAGTGCTTCCCATCAGCAGGCACTTGTTCAACCACCCCCAGGAAAGCCAGGCTCAGCATGTGTCTCATTTTGTCGTGAAGACAAATGCCATTAGTCTCAATGTCCCCCTTCCTTCTTTGTTCCCCAGTTTTATCACCGAGCACAATACCATAAGCATAGGACATCCCTTAGGTCTGTCCCCTCAGCTCCCTGTGCACCTCCAGCCCTCACCAGCAGGATGGCAGAGCCCTGAGCTCTGTGTGAGCACCACTTGATGGCGACCAGAACATTGGGCTGCTATCACCACGTGTTCCATCACACATCCAGAATACAGCAATCCATGAGCCCTCAATGAAGAAAATTAACTCTCCCCCAGGCAGCAACATCTCTTTCCCCGGAGATGTTCAACACACAATGGGACACAGCCGTGGGCAGTGGGTGGTGGGGGACCCCAAAGGGCAAGCGTGAAGCTGCTGACCTGCAGCCCCAAGTGCTCTGTGATTCTGCTGTTTGGGAACTGTGGGATTCATAGCTTCTGTCGGGTAAGGAAAAGTGAGAGAACCACAGTCAGGAGAATGGCAGACCCCCCAGCAACCATGAGACATTTCCGGTATTTCCTCCAGCAGGGCTGCTTTCTGCTTTTCCTAGCATCTCTGTACTTCTTCATGTGATACTTCACCTTCTCTTCCGTTAATTGGGGATCCAGGTACATCTCGTTGCTGTAGAACTTGCCCTCGTTCTTCTGCATCATTTCCTGGATCTTCCCCATCAGCTGCTGGGCCTGCTGGTCCCGCTCAGCCTCTCTGGCGTGGTTGTTGATGCCGCAGTATCTGTTCTCACAGCTCTGGATCACATCACGCAGAGCTTTGTTGTCAGTGTATCTCACGTAGTCATGCAGGGACCCCGCCACCAGCTCTTCTCCACGGGTGAACACGACAATCGTGTATCCGAGCACGTCGGATCCAAAGATGTCCTGCACGCTCTGCACAGCCTCCTGGTCCTCCTGGGTGAAGCGGCCCAGCTGGGTGACCAGCAGCACCGCGTGGGGGCCTGGGGAGGACAGCCTGATGCAGTGCAAGATTTCTTTGTACATCTGATCATTGTCATCCCACGAATAGAAGATGTTGGCCGTGTCGATCACCGTGATGTCGTGGCCGTTCCAGTGCCCGTCTGCCTTCTGGCAACTCAGGGTCACCGGCTCGATGGCCAGCTTGGACTCGAAGGCACATCGCCCCAGAAGGGTGTTCCCTGTAGCACTTCGTCCCCCCCCAGTCTTCCCAACCAGGAGCAGCCGTGTGGCTGAGTCCTCGTTGTCCCTGGGCAGCATGGGAACACGTCAGGTGGATGCGGTTATGCTGCGGGGACAAAAGCAGAGGCACGGGGCTCCAGTTAGTGTGGAAATGGTGTGGTGACGGGAACCCATAGCGGTGATGGGAGTGTGGCTGGGGCTCAGCTTGGGGCTGAATGTGGGACTGGGGGCTGCCCATGACAGCACCGACACTTGGGGTCTGTGCTGTGCTCGTGTGGGCATGGGGAGTGGGGAGAGGGCATAGGGGAAAACAGAGAGAGGAAAAAGGAGATGGGGAGAAGGGACAGGGGGAAATGGGGAGGGGAGGAATGGGGAAATGAAGGGAAGGGTAATGAGGAAAATGGGAAGAGGGAGAAATAGAAAAGGGGAAAGTGGAAATGGGGAGGGCACAAGAGGAAAAGGGAGAAGGGAAGAGTGATGAATAGGGGCAGGAGAAAAAGGAAAGGGGAGAAGTGGGGTTAAAGTGGAAGAGGGGGAGAGTGGACATTGGGAAAATGGCCAGAGGGTAAAAAGGGACAAGGGGCAGCGCCAATTCCCTGCCACGGTCACCAGTTTCCCAGGTACCTGCAGCTCCTTCCCAGCTGCAGTTTCCTGCAGCTCTGGAGCAGGGTGTGCAAAGCTGGGGGCCTCCCACCAGAGCTGCACGAGTCGGATCTCACCCCATGGGTGCTGCTCCCCTTTACCTGGACATGCACCGTGTGTGCTTCAGCCACCGGAGAGTCAGCAGAGCACGGCTCGTCAGTCAGCAGCAGGCTGCAGCCCTGCTGGGTGCGTGTCTGCGTCAGCTCCTGCAGCGGGGGGTGTGACTTCAACACCGCCTGCCCCAGGACAGTTTGGTGTCACGCTCCTCCCAGCAAGCACGGCTGCAGCCCTTCCTGCTCTGTACAAGTGAATCATAGAATGAGCTGGGTCGGAAAAGGGAGCTCAAAGATCGTCTAGTTCCAACTGCTGCTGTGCACTGGTTGCCACCCACTGGATCAGGTTGAGCAGGGCCTCATCTGTAGCCTTGAACACCTCCAGGGATGGGGTACCCACAGTTCTCTGGGCAGCAGTGTCAGGACTCAGTGTCCTTTGTGTGAAAATTTTCCCCAATATCTGACCTAAATCTCTCCTCTTTGGGTAGATCGCACTCCACCTCCATCCACACCATCCCCACAACCTCCTCACTCCATCCCATCTGCATCCATACCCCACTCCACCTGCAATCCCTTCCCATCCATTCCTGTGCTCCTGCAGCCAGTTTTAGCCTCTGCCTCGGGCTATCACAGACTCCAGCTGTGGGGCAGAGTTCTAGGGTACCCCAACCCCACAGGGGGACCGAAGGGACATGGCCACACTTGGAGAGGCTGCAGGTTTTGCTGAGTAGGAAGGGGACACAACATGCTGCCAGACACTGCCACCAGCTCTTTATTCTCAGTGCACACAAAGGTTTCAGCATTACCTTGCAAGGGGGATGGGAGGATGCTGGGATGGGGGTGATGCCAGCCCTGGGGCTGCTGTGGGGCTGCAGTGGATACACCCAGGCAGAGTCCTGGGCAGACCTAGAGGGGCAGGGCATGGGGCAGGGATGCAGGACACAGCTGTCCCCTGTCACCACAGCACTGGTGGCAGCAGTGGGGGACACGACGTCCACCCCCCTCAGCTCCCAGGCCAGTAGAGCACAAAACCATCGCGACTCTTGCGGAAATCAGGAGCAGCCACATCAGGCTGAGTTTCCACAGTCAGCAATCTCTTGCGCCCACGCAGGCTCAGCTGGATGCGATCGGAGACCTGGACCTGCAGCTCCCGCTTGGTCCTGCAAGGACACAGCTTCAGCACGGGGCTGTGGTCACCCTGGGGGGCTGCACTGCCCCAATGGGTGCCCCTTGGGGTAGGACTCAGCCGCACTCACGTTCGGCAGTGCTCCAGCAGGACGCCCACCAGCTCGCCCACCCGCTCATCCCCCCGAGGCTGTGTCTTGTGTAGGCAGACAGCCAGGTCATCGTGGTTCTGCGTGTGGAAGACCACCAGCTGCGCCCGGCAGCTCGTCACACTCAGCCCCGTCACCTGCAAGGGTCATCAGGGGGTGTCACAGTGTGGGGACACTGAGACACCTCCGTCCCAAGGAGTTTTGCTGTGCCAATCCAGGCAGCTTTACAGCATGGATATGGGGATGATGGAAGAGTCTTCATGCTGGAGAGGGGCAACTAGGCCTCATGGCATGGACATTGAGACCACCAAGGGTTCCTCACACTGGAAAGGGGCAGCTAGACCCAATTGTATGACCATGGGGAGCACCAAGGGATCTTCATGCTGGACAGGGGCAGCTGGATCTTGTCAGGTGGTGATGGGGAGCATGGAGGGGTCTTCCTGTTGGGTCACCAGCTCCCCAAGGCAGGTCACCCCCTCTGCCACATGGGTGTGGGGCCACTGACCATGCTGAGAGGCAGCTCCCGCATCACTCGGTACTGCTTCCGGGGCTCCAACTTGTAGAGGTGCTGGTCAGTGATCAGGATGGCACGGTCCCGGCTCTTGTTGAAGCGGTTGATCTGTAGGGCAGAGCTGAGTGAAGAGGCAGAGCCAGGGGATGCCAGTGGAAACACACCGGCCGTGCCGAGACCCTCACCTTGCGGACATGGCTGGAAAAGAGGACAGTGCCAAAGTGCACCTTGTCACGTAGAGCCTGCACGCGGTGGGCGAAGGGCAGCGCCAAGCCTGGGTTCTCGCTGGCCTGTGGGGAGCATGGGGTGAGATGGGGGCACTGAAGGGGGCTTGGGGTCCTGCCATCAGCTCCGTGCCCTTACCGAGGACAGGTAGTCGCGCACCCAGCCCCTCTGGCACCCCCAGTCCTTCCGCAGCCCATGCAGAACCCCCATGGCGGCCACCTTGGCCCGGATCTGCGCCATGTCAGAGGGAGGGATGTTCTTAACGATCTGCCGCGCTCGCCACCTGCGGGATGAGGGCATGAGGCATTTGGGAATCACTGCCATGGTGGACCCCCATGGGCTGGTGACCCCCTGGCTGTGCTCACACCTGCGGAAGAGATGCTGGCTGTTCTCCTGGAAGCGGCCCAGCACAGCCGGCGGCTCCGGCCACGCCAGGCTCTTGCCAAAGTCGGGCATGGAGCGCACGCCCTGGAAGCGCCGTATCAGCTCCAGCAGGTATGCCTTCACCTTGTGCCGCTTGTAGTAGCCCATGATGGCATAGGCAGCACGCAGGTACCGGCACCGTCGCCGGGCCAGGGCTCCACGCCAAGCCTGCAAGACACCAGTAGTCACGTGGCCCCCAAAATGCTGACCCTGCCTCAAAATGTGCTTGTGGGACTGGCTGTGTGTCCCACTCCCTCCATGTCCTTGCTCTGGGCCCATGCCCTGATCTGAAGAAACGTGCCAAGTGGTGTCCTGGGTTCAAACTCTGCACCCATGTTGTCACACCCATGCCATGCTCCATGTCACCCCCATGTCACATGCCATACCATGTTCTGTGTCAGCTCTGTGCCACTCCCCATACAAAGCTCCATGTCATCCCCATACCATGAATCAAGACACCCCCATGTCACCCCCATATGGTGACCCAAGACACCCCCATGTCACACTCCATGCCATGCCCCACCACACCCCCATATAACCCCCATGTCACTCCCACGCCATCCTCATGTCACCCCTATGCCATGTCCCTGGCAGTGCTTTGCTCATGCCCATGCTCTGCACCATGCTATGCCCCATCGTGTTGCCCCCATTCCCAGCCTTATGCCAGTCCCCACAACACGCCCACAGCACCCTGCTGCTCCACTTTCCTCTACTGAGCCCTGTCACAGCCTGGTTGGGGCTGAAACCTACAGCACCCACCTTTTGCAGAAGCAGGACAATAATGGGGATGAGCTGCGCCCGCTCCTGCTCAAGGCAGAAGAGAGTGCGGGGCGTGCGGATGAAGACTTTGGTGTGGCCATAAGCCACATCATCCTGGAAGCCATGCTGCTCCATAAGGGTCTGCGTGGCCTCACGGTCAGTGGCCATCAGGTGGTTGGGCCACGTGTATTCACACGTCATCTTGTACCTGGAGACAACGAGAGTCAACACAATGGGGTTCAAGGGCTGGGGAATCATCGGGGATCCCGGGGCCATACCTCTGCAGGAAGCGGTCGTAGGGCTGGCGGTAGGCGAAGCCGGCACGGCGCACACGCACGTTCTCTAACAGCCCCAGATAGGCGACCTGGTGCCGGCACCGCTCCTCGTCAAACAGCACTGGAGACTTCTGGTCATTAGGCTTGATGCAGCGCACATAGTATGGCTCCTGTGGGCACGCAGTGGGGATGTCAATGTGGGGACACGTGGTGGCCCCATCGAGTGGTCCCAAGCCCACAAGTGTCCTGGGCTGAGGACTCCTGGGGCTTGGAGTTCACTGGGCATGGCTGGCACGGGGACGGGGCAATTTGGTGGCTTGGGGATAAAGCCACGTGGCTCATGGACAAACCTGCATGGATTTGGGACATGCTCAACTGGCTTGGGGACCAACAAAACTGGCATGGAGACATGTTTAGCTAGCATAGGAACATCTCTGCCGCATGAGGGCATGCCTGACCAGCTTGGGCACATACATGGCCAGTTAAGGAGCATGCCCATTTGTCTTGGGAGCGTATCTCGTTAATACTGGGTCACACCAGGATGGTTTGGCGACATGCAGGACTGCCCTAGGGTCAGTACCTTGGAAGCAAGGTTTTCCACCAGGGCCACAATGGAGTTCTTGAAGAGCGTGGCGGCGGTCAGTGGGCGCTTGGTGACCTCAGTGATGCTCTGCTCACCATCGGGCCACATGGCATGCAGCACAGGGTCCATGCTGGGGACAGAGCTGGTGTGGGGCTGGCAGTGCTGGGCACTGCCCCACTTCCCCACTGCCCCAAGTTTTGCCACCCCACACCCCATAGCAGTGTCCCCCTGGCCATACCCTCAGGCCCCCCCGCTATGTCCCCTGTCCCTGGATGTTCCCAACCTGTTGTAGAGGAGCCGTTTGAAGTCCTGGAATAGTGTGTCCTTGTTCTTGTCCAGGAAACCTTCCACGGAGTACCTGAGGTGGGGGAACACCTTGCTGGGGGCTCCTCCTGCTACCATTTGGTGCTGGGGGACAGGTTTTGGCACGGAGGCTGATGGAGGCATCAGTGCCATGCCCCTGGCTGTCTCCGCAGAGGTGATTTGTCCCATTGACCCCATGACCCCATACGGATATCCATAGCTCCTGATGGGCGCTCATATCCCCATGGCCCCAAATGATCCCCCCATAGACTCTCATGGTCCCCAAAGGTCTGTGTTCCACTACAACCCCAAACAGTCTCCTCCAGTTCCTCATGAACCCCCACAGCCCAATGGCTTCCCCATGCTCCCATAATGCTCCCCAAGGACCTCTCCAAGGTCCAGTGGTCAATCATACACAAGCTAAGACCCTTCACAGTTCTCCAAGGCCTCATAGTTAACCATAGACTCCTATAGACTTCCAAGAAACACTATTACCCATGGTCATCCCAGATGGTCCTCCATGCTTGCCTAAAGTTCTTCATGGTCCCGAGGCCACCCATGGATGCTCACAGTCCCCATTCACACTCCTAACGGTCTAAATGACACCACCACCACTCCTCATTATACCCCCATAGTTCCCAATGGTTCTCCATGGACCCATGGTCAACCATAAACCCCTAAGAGCCACTAATAGCCCCGTAGTCAACCATAAATCCCAAAAAGACCCCCTACAGCATCATGTCCTCCATGATCCCAAATGGTCCCTCATGGCCTTCCTAAGTCCTCCACGGCCATAAGACCCCCTGTGTTCTCCCCCTGCTCCCCACGGCTCCTCACGTGACATCTCCGGCGTAATGCTTGATGCGGAAGTCACGGTCAAACTCCATGGTCTTGTCGCTGGGGCAGAGCTGGGGAGCAGAGGGTGTCAGGCCCAGCTCCTGGCATTGCCCCCACCTCAATCCCCATCGTTGTCCCAGAAATCACCTTGCGGCTGCTGTAGTGTGGGTGATGGCCCAGGCGGGCATCCATGTTGGCCAGGAAGAGGGCATCAGTGACGGTCCCCACAGCCAAGCAGGCCTCATCCAGCAGCGCCAGGATGCCACGGTGCGGCTGCTCCACCAGCTCCACGATAGGCTCGTTGCTGAAGTACTCAATCTAGGAGGGCAGGGGGCACCCCAGGTTGCCCCCCATGCACCCTCATTTGCCCCCTGGCACCTCGAATCTCACCCTGCCAAAAGGTGTTCCCCATGTCCCCTCGTGTTGCTATGTGCCCCTCACGCTGTGTCAGGTGATGACACCTGTATCCCCCCAGCTCCCTCCCATGTCTTTGCCGTATCCCCATTTCCCCCTCACGTTCTGCCAGGTGATGCCCTCGCGCTGGTACTCCGCCTGCTCCTGCCTCAGGATGAGCTCGATGAAAAGCTGCTGCAGCTTCTCGTTGCAGTAGTTGATGCAGAACTGTTCGAAGCTGGGGCCAGGGGTCAGGTTGGCCACTGTCACCTGGCCCCACACCATGCCCCCTGGCTACTGTGCCACTCTGGTCCCATCTTTCCATATGCCCTTCTCAAATCATCCCATCCAGTTGTGCCTCCCAAGACTTGTGCCCTCCATGTGTCTCTCCTGGGTCCCATGCCCTCTATATTTCCTTCCCAAGCCATCTCTTTGTGTCACTCCTAGGTGTCCCTCTCCCTTCCCCACATCCTTCCCACCCCCAATCCTTTCCACATGTCCCTTCCAAGCTCTGTCCCATCCATGAGTCCCTCCCAAGTGTCCCCATCCCTTTCACATGTCCTTTCCATCCCCAACATCTTCCATATGTTCCTCCCAAACTCTGTTCCTTCCATACATCCCTCCCAGGCGTCCCCCTGTCCTCTCTACTTGTTCCTCTTGGATCCCTTCCCCTCTGTGTGTCCTTCCCAAGCCATCTCCTCCATGTGTTACTCCCAAGTCCCGTCCCCTCCACGTGCCCCTCCCTGGTGTCCCCTCATCTCAACCGCACCCAACCCATCCCCAGTCCTCTCATGTCCCCTCCAAGTGTTGTCTCCTCCATGCGCCTTTCCCATCCCACAGCTTCTTTACATATACATTCCACCCTATCCACCTGTACCTCCATCCCCATCACGTCCCCATTCCCCGTCCCCTTCCAGCCTGGGGCCCGTGTCACCTGTTGGTATCAAAGATCTCGAAGCCGTAGATGTCCAGGACTCCGATGACGGTGCTCTTGCCATGCTGCCGGACATCGTAGCCACGTGCGGTGATGCTGGCATTGATGCGCCCTACGATCCATCCAAAGAGCCGCTCGTAGATGGCCTGGGGACAGGGGAACCACGGTCACCTCAGGGGCATGGTGTGGGATGGTGGGACCCCGTTGCCCTCTCCTCACCTTGGCACAGGCATCCCTGCCATAGGCGGCCTCGGTGGGGCTGTGACCCTTCGTGATGAGCTCCCCACCTCCCGTGGCCACAGTGCGGGCCAGCAGTGCCTGGCGGAGCTGCTCCGGTGTTGTTCCTGTCAGCTGGGCCAGCACAGCCAGCTGCTCCACTGCCTCCAGCACCGCCACCTCACCGTCTGCCACGAACCTCACGTTGCCCTGGGGACATCGTAGTGATTGCAGGGGATGGGGATGGCACCGTGCCTGCCGACAGGGCATGGATTGGCAGCCCTGCTATGGGTCGGGGTCCCAAATCACACTCGAGGTGTCCTGGGGTCCCAAATCACACTTGAGGTGTCCTGGCATCATCGCTTTGGCTGAGCTCAGGCATATGGGGTCATACTGGTTTGCTTTGAGCCGTACTAGTTTGCATTGGGCTGTGCTGGGCCGTGATGAATTGTGTTGAGTAGTGCTGCTTCACACAGGTTATACTGGATTTAATGGGCTGTACCGGTTTGCCTTGGCTGTGCTGCAGTGCACAGGGCCGTACTGGTTTCTGTGGGGCTTACTAGTGCTGGGATGCATGGAACCATACTGGTGCCCAGAGCTACACTGGTCTGCCTGTGCTAATACTGGTGGGGCCATACTGGCCTGCGTGGAGCCATACTCGTCTATCTGGGGTCATACTGGTGGGACCAGACTGGTCTGCATGGGAACATACTAGTGGGGCCATGTTGGTGAGGCTGGGGCTGTTCAGGTCTGCCTATGGCCATACTGGTGGGGTCATACTGGTGGGGTCATACTGGTGGGGTCATACTGGTGCCCACAAGGCTTCCCTGGAACTCTCACCAGGTGCAGGATGGCTGCTAGGATGCGTCGCACAGCGCCCACCTCCTCTGGGGTGAAGCCAATGACTGCCATCGCCTCCTCCACCGCCCGGTAGCCACGCGCATCATCACTGTCAGCCTGGAGGAGGCAGGTGAGGGATGGGACCCCCGAGACCCCCACCCCCCCACCCCCCAGCCATCCCTGCCCCACTCACGCTGCCCTGGGTGCCCTGCTGGGTGTAGCAGTATGCAGTGGGATCCCGCTGGAGGTGCAGTGAGGCCAGCAGTGCCTCAGGGGCTCCCAGCAGCAGCTATGGAACAGGGGGACGTCAGCACCCTGCCCTGGGCACCAGGACTCCTTGTTCCATCTCAGCTGGCCCTGGCACATCCCAACCTACCCCATTTGGTTGCCATTCTGTACTTACTCTGTCCCACCCCATCCCATTCACTCTCATCCCATCCATCATGTTCCATCCCATAGATTCCACACATCCCGTTCCCATCCCATCCATCCCCTCTTCTCCTACCTGTCTCATGCCATCACACCCTATCCCATCCCACTGCAACTTATCCCATCCCATCACAACACATCCCATCTCCATCCCATCCCAACATAACACACCCCAACCCATCATCTCATCTCATCTCATCTCATCTCATCTCATCTCATCTCATCTCATC